TGCCAGTATCCTGAAAGTAAATCAATTTTGGAAATTATCTTAGCTTGACCAACTTTATCAATAACGTCCTCTATCCGAGGTAAGGGATAGGAATCAGCTTTGGTGAGCGCATTCACCTTCCTAAAGTCGGTCACAAACCTGAAAGATCCACCGTCTTTCGGGACTAGGAGACATGGGGAACTCCAGTTGCTGAAACTGGGCTCAATGATATCATTCTTGAGCATATAATCAATTTCATCTTTTATCAAAGCAGCTTTTTCCGGGTTAACTCTATAGGGGTGTTGTTTAATGGGTTTTGCGTCACCAACGTCTACATCATGAGGTGGAACCTTCGCTTCTTTGGGGACATCCCCAAAAATAGAGGGAAATGTCTCAAATACTTGAGACAATCTATGGCTTTCCTCTGTGGACAAATGCATAAGGTGGACATTCAAATTATCTAAAAAGGAAGAATTTACCAATTTTGGGGGTTTCAATTTATCATGTATCACATCATCAGAAACATTTGAACATACAGGTAAAGTAGTTTTAGCTGTGGATTGAAAATTGTTACAATTATCATAATATTTTTTCAGTGAGTTAACATGATACACTGTCTGTTTCTTTCTTCTGTCGGGCGTATTGACAACATAGTTCAAATCACTTAATTTTGAATGCACAGTAAAGGGTCCACAATATCTCAAGGATAACGCATTGTTCAGATTAGGTACTAGCACAAGAACTTTGTCGCCTGGATTGAATGTTCGTTTACAAGAACTCTTATCATACTGTTCTTTCATTCTCACTTGGGCCTTTCTTAAGTTCTTGTGAGCCATTTCGCACACGGCTTTCAGTCGAACGTGAAAATCGTCGAAGTTTTCCACTGGATGATCACTGGTACCTGTCCAACGTTCGTGTATCAGCTTCAGGGGGCCACGGACAGAATGTCCAAACACAAGTTGAAAAGGCGAGTAGCCTAAAGAGTCCTGGACACAGTCCCTCGCGGCGAAAATAATCCAAGGAACAGACTCATCCCATTGGGTGTTACTATTAGCGAATGTCCTTAGCATGGTTTTGAGGGTTTGGTGGAACCTCTCAAGTACGCCTTGAGACTGAGGGTGGTAGGCTGAGCTGGTGATGTGGGTAACGCCTAGCTTGGCTAGCGCTTCCTGAAAATGGTGACTGGTGAAGTTGCTGCCTTGATCTGTTTGCACGATTCTAGGTAATCCAAAGGTAGTGAAGAACCGGGTCATGGCTCTGACTACAGTCTTTGCCTTAATGTTCCGTAAGGGAATCGCCTCGGGAAAACGGGTACTTGAACACATAAAGGTAAGTAGGTACTCGTTGCCCGCCTTGGTTTTAGGCAAGGGACCTACACAGTCCATGACGATTTTAGAAAAAGGTTCTTCCAATACAGGAATCGGACTCAAAGGGGCCTTAGGAATTGTCTGGTTTGGCTTTCCGGCCAACTGACAGTTCGTGCAACTTCTACAGTAACGCGACACATCTTTTCTCATTTTGGGCCAAAAGAACAGTTCTTTGATCTTCGCCGTCGTTTTAGTGACTCCTGTGTGCGCTGACATTGGATGGTCATGTGCCAGCTTAAGTATTTCATGCCGATAAGGTGGAGGGATCCACAGCTGGTTTTTACCCAACCATGGTTCGGCCGGTGAGGCAATCACTGGTATAGCGCGACGAAAGAAAAGGCCGTTCTCGGAGAAATATTCTCCATCGTCAGATGATAGAGATTTTTCGACCGTTGCCTGGAGCTCCGCGTCGACTTGTTGAGCTTTAATGATGTCCTCCTGAGATATTCTCAGGGGTAAGCCCAGACTTGTGTTTTCTGGAAGCATAGACTCCAGTTTGGGAGTCGAATTTCTTGACGATGATGGTAGATGTGGTTCAGACGTTGTGTCAGCCAATTGTTTGGTCTGGCTTCTTGTCACCGCACATGCAGGATACAGTTCATTATCATTATCTGGAACTGTTGACAAAGGGTCTGAAACCGTACAGGGGTATACTTTGCTACCCGCAAGGTCATTCCCTAGAAGTAGGTGTACTCCTGGGACAGGAATACTATCTATCACACCTAAAATGACCTCACCTTCGACGAGATGATGTTTCAGGGCAAACTTGTGTAGAGGGACGACAGTAGATTTTGTCCCCACTCCCTGGATAATGGAAATCTTTCCGGTGTTCGTCTCTGGTGTAATGTCCATTGAACTTTTCAAAAGGAGTGATTGTGACGCTCCTGTGTCTCTTAGAACGGTGATATTCTTCTGAGACAACGGATCACCTGGTTTGCTAATGATGGCTTCGGCAATAAAAGATGAAAAGTCAACTTTTCTCGATCCCTCGAGATCGGTAGACTCGGAAGAAACTGGATGGTGGCGAGAACAGTCAAAATGTGACTGCACATAATGTGTGGAGACTTGACTACCTTCTTGCGGACACTTAGGATTAGAGTCCTTTAGAATTCTAGAGTTCATAGTTGAACGGGCTGCTTGAGGGAATAGAGCATAGTGCGCGGAAGTACGCACCACCTCTCTGTTATATTGACGACGTTTGTAACAGTCCTTGACAAGATGACCAGGTCTTTTGCAGAACTGGCATACTGCTCGACGATTGAGAGTTGATCTTGGTTTCTCTCTGGACTGCGATGTCTTCAAATGTTGGCCAACAGGAGGATTGCTGCCAAAAAGGGGAAGCACGGGGTTGAGGCGGTTTCCTGACACTGGTGGTTTCTTATGCACCAACATATATGTGTCAGCCGACTCAGCAGCCTTCTGGATGTCAGTTATCTTGTTATCCAGTATGTGTAGTCGTATCTCTTCAGGCAGGGACGATAGGAATTCTTCCCTTAGGATAAGTGACCTGAGTTTCTCAAACTCAGAAACTTCTTCAGAGTGTAGCCACCTTGAAAATATTTTCTCCTTTTCAAAGAGAAATTCCACATATGATTGTGTGGGTAACTTGCGGAGTGTTCGGAATTTTGTCCGATAGGCCTCGGGCGTCAGTGCGTAGGCCTTTAAAATGGCAGTCTTGACCAAACTATAGTTATTTTGAACGTCGTGAGAGAGTGCCTGGTATGTTTTTGCAGCTTTCCCAGTAAGGACAGAGCTCAATAAAGCAGTAATGGAAGTTTCGGGCCATTCACATGTCTTCGCTAAACTCTCAAACGAGTTAAAGAAAACGACCAAATCTGTTTCATCAAATTTAGGAACTAATTTCCCAAATTTGGTAATCACTTGCCCTACCGACAACTTTTTTGGATCTACCAGAGAAGTAACATCACTAACTTGACCAAACTCTAATTCCAACCTCCTCTTATCTAAAGCAATTTTAGCCTCTAACTCCTGTTTCTCTAGAGCACTTTTAGTTTCAAACTCCTTTTCTTTTAAAGCCTTCTCTAAAGCAACTTTCTCCTTCTCTAAAGCAATTCTAGCTTCTAATTCTACCTTCTCTAGAGTTTTCTCCTCGCGGAGCAACACACCAGCCAACAAACTTTCATCAAATACTCCTTCATTAATGAAATGAACAATAATTTTATCTCTCAACACCTCTGACTTCTGCGTAACAGAATAATCCAATTTCAATTCCTTAACAAGACTAATCAACACTTTTCTACTCAACTTTTCTACACCTTCAAAAGTAGGATTAGCCAAAAAAGACTCCATAACCCTAACTTGAAAATCACAACAAGCCTGGATTCTTTAAATTACTACACAGCGTTGGGCCGTGTACTTGACCTCTAAATGTAGGACGTGACACGTCTGCTTATTTGACCTAGATACTCTAGCCTGAGCGCGCGTTGTAAGAACACTGCGCTACTGGATATAAAAACAACTAGACCCAACTAAACTTAGGGCTTAACTGATATAACCAACAACTGGAACGACAGATTAAATCTCGGCGAGACCCCACTTTGTAACGTTAACCTTTCTATCAGCCAAATAGAAGGAGAACGTCCCCGGATTCTTTTTTCGGGGTCATATGCAAATGCCTTACGGCCTAAGTGGATGAACACTTAACACAACGACCACTAGGGCTCGAAATTAATGTCTAGGGGAGCTAGTGGTACTATTGTAATTAACACTCATCCAATCTACATACGACCATTTAATCAGCGAACTCAGATGTGGCAAAACACAAAGATGAACTAGATAAAATATTTAATGTATAAAATATCAAAAACCCAACTTACAAAAATGTAGGAAAAATCACTATCACAGATTTCTACACTGTCTAAAGAACAGCTACAGGCCACACAACACTGCTGTAGCTTCAAGACTTACTTAGCGACAAGTAATATTAAACTAGAAGACTAAATCAACTGAAGAAAGCAAGGCACACACAGGTCTTAAGTACTCTCACGTTCAAATGGTCAGAGTCTATAGCCGGACAATATGGACGGCTGCCTGACTAAGGTAAAACGGCCTCGTAGACTTTTAGGTCAAGAAAAACTGCCTCGTGTTGCGAGTGTGCGGGGCAATTAAAGACTTCTGTGACAGGGGAGGTTATCCTCAACTCATGTCGCCATTGGTTGGGATAATCATCTGATCAGAATCATTCAATCAGATTTTAATGGAAATTTTCTATGTCTCAAACACCTTAATAGTCAATGGAAAAACCCCAGGTGTTACACAATCATTCCATATAAGGAATTATACAATGTCAAAATAAAAATGACTCGACCTAAGTAGGTCACAGTGTCACCCCCCCCCCCCTAAATGGTGTCACCCGGTGCGATCCGCACCCTCCGCCCCCCCCCCCCTCTCGATACATGTATATATATATATACATATTACAATGTCTATATATACATGTCTATATATTCGTCTAAATAGTAATAGGCGAAAAATATGTAAATGTTTTATCCACATATTGTACAACATGTTTAATTTTTATTTTTGTTATTTTTCAGCTTACATAATTGTGTAAGCCTCAGCCAAGGCTTGTAATACGTGTCACATAGGACGTAGGACACACTAGAAGATTCACTCGGCCATCTGGACAACTGTGCTACAAGAAAAACTGGGCCAACTTAAAACACTGGGCCACATGACAAATCGGGCCACCCTGTTTGCAATCCGCATCCACATCGGACATTCCCGATTCTCGACCACTATGGACGCCGTTGCCTAGTAACGGCTTGGGGGAAACCTCTCACGCCAGATCCCTGTATCGCCTCGTGGAGGTGACCGCGCGCGCGCCTCACTCGTCCAATCCGGTCCATCTCTGACGTCACGTGATTGGCGAAGAGAAAGAGAGAGGGGGAAGGGGAAAAAATGCCGCCTCCGGCTAAAAGTTCCATGAACTCACCAAGTTCAAAGCCACCGTTCGCTGGCGGGAACAGTGCAGGTGCGACCGACTCCAGCGATGGCCAGAATCTTGCGTACGGTGCCGGCGGCCGAGGTGCCGTTGGCGGAGGGAGTGGAGTAACCGCGGATGTCACTCCCCGATCCTCATCCGGCACCCACCAACGAGACTTCTACTACCACCACAGCACCGACGCCAAACCCGGCGCCCGCGGGGGGCCCTTGACCAGCAGCCTCGTGTCGAAATACGCCCCGAAACCCATCGACATGGGCAACGGCGCGAGTTCAAACCCCCACTTCACCATCGACGGTGAGTCAATGGACGTGCATAGAGTTAAAGCCCTCGTCCCGGAGTTACGTCACGAGATCAAACGCCGGGATAAAATCATCGAGCAGTACGACTCGCAGATCCGGCAGAAGGATGACCTACTTAAGGAGAAGGACTCTGAAATAGCGCGGTTGAAGGAGGAGGTTCACAAGCTGAAGTCCGTACTGCAGCTGAAGGTGGACACGCTCAAGTCCCAGGAAAGCAAGCCGGACCTGCTGTCCACCATTGATGAGATTCAGGCGGAGCCCACCGTGGTCAAGGGCCCCGCCAAGAAGCAGGGGGTCTCCGGTGAGAGCCCCTCGTCAAAGACTCTTGGATATGTTGACCTGACGCATCACGAGAAGGATTTTAAGTAAGTCACTCGTTGTGGTCTCTTGTGGTGTAGGTTGTGTGTGTGTTTTCTGAGATCTTTATGGGGCTTGGATCTTTGGTGTGTGTTTTCTGGGATCTTTGTGGGGCTAGGATCTTTGTGGGACTAGGATCTTTTTATTTTTTTGGGATTTTTTTGGGGCTAGGATCTTTATTGTGTGTTTTCTGGGATCTTTGGTGTGTGTTTTCTGGGATCTTTGGTGTGTGTTTTCTGGGATCTTTGTGGGGCTAGGATCTTTGTGGGACTAGGATCTTTATTTTTTTGGGATTTTTTTGGGGCTAGGATCTTTATTGTGTGTTTTCTGGGATCTTTGGTGTGTGTTTTCTGGGATCTTTGGTGTGTGTTTTCTGGGATCTTTGGTGTGTGTTTTCTGGGATCTTTGGTGTGTGTTTTCTGGGATCTTTGGTGTGTGTTTTCTGGGATCTTTGTGGGACTAGGATCTTTGTATTTTCTGGGATCTTTGTGGGGCTAGGATCTTTATTGTGTGTTTTCTGGGATCTTTAGTGTGGTTTTTATAGTGGTCTTTGTAATGCTTGGATCTTGGGTGTGTGTTTTCTGGGATCTTGTTGGGGCTTGGATCTTTGGTGTGTGTTTTCTGGGATCTTTGTAAGGCTTGGATCTTTGGTGTGTTTTGTTGTGATTTTTCTATGTCCTAAATCTTTGTTGTGGTTTTTACTGTGGCCTTTGTGTGTGATTTAATATAATACTTGTTACTGTAAGTCATTTAATGTCACGTTTGCTAACTGTGATCTGTGTATAGCTTGGATGTTTGCTGTGGTTTGTATTATTGTCTTAGACAATTATTGTGATATTTGTAGGGTTGGAATCTTTGCTGTGAGTTTTACTGTGGTCTTTGTAGGTTTTTCACCGTAAGCTTTGAAACCTGTGATCTTTGAAGGTCATGTTTTGATTGTTTATTCTGTAATTCAGATGCATATAATTGTGTGGGCTGTATTCAGGCTAGGAAAAATTTTTTTTTACATAATTTAACGGTTATTTACTGCCTTCTCCTTAATTTTTTTTTTTTGTTAATTGATCTTTAAAAGTCTTTTACAAACATCTTTTTGAGTATTTGTTGCTTCGTTGACGTGTTACTTTTGTCATTTACTACAGTCTTTATACATCGTTTGCGATATATCTTAGTAATTCAAGACCTGTTGCCTCTATATGCAAGTCAAGTATATTCGTATTTAGCCATAAGCCAGCAGAGCCTAAAAAATAGGGCCTACATAATTTATACAATTAATTGCGTAAAGATTAGGAGTGCGTGTCCTTTCATAGGAGGGTCGTTCTCAAATTTTAGCTGAATAAGTCAATTATACATTCAAAAGACAGAAAAACACAAGTTTACGTACCTACAATGTTTACATTAAAACACCAGGTAATTACTAGCTTGGAAAACCTTAGTTTGATCTCCAATTAGAAAAAAAATCAGGCCTATGTCCTCTCCCCCTATTCCATAACCCGGAGGGAAAGAAAAATCATGCTAGCACCCTAGTCTAAATTCTTGGTTATTAATCTTTGTTTTTATTTATACTCTGCCATAACTCTGGCATGTTTAGACATGCTTTATATCCATATCCGATATCCCATTGATCCACTACAGGTAGATTTAAGAACAGGTTGTTTTCGTGCGTAAAGTGGTTGGCTTAAATAAAGACAGAAAAAACCGGGAATTTCCCTTTTCTTCCGTGCACTCTGTCTTCATTAGCACTATCGTTTGGCCGAGTTATCTTCCCCCTCCCGGCGCATCGATCAACAGATAAACATTGAGTGGCATGCCACTCTCCCCCCCCCCCCTCTGGACCTCATCCCCTGGCACTCGTTAAGTCATCTACCGCCACGGTATCGCTGGGAGGTCATGACGTCAAGCGAGTCGCGGTATCGGACTCGGGTCGTTATTTACTCGTGGCACCGGGGTCGTGACGTCATCGCCGTGTGGCACGAGGCTAATGACGTCAGCCGGCTTGACGCGAACATCACCGAGCTGTTGACAAAGTCTTGAGCGCTGACCTGACGTCTCAAGGAATGTCAGACAGTGACGTGACATTGAGAAAAACTCATGACATCTCCACAATGTCATCTGTCACGTGATGACCTGCCTGTAGTCACGTAGTCAGGGATTGTTAGACAAGAGGGGGGGTGTTGGTCAGATAACAGTGAACTCTCCTTAGAGTTCCATGCGTCGCGGTCAAGCATTTATTGGGAGCCGTAAAACATATGTTGGGAGCTGTGAAATATGTTGGGAGCTGTGAAACATGTTGGGGAGCCGTAAAACATATGTTGAGAGCTGTGAAACATGTTGGGGAGCTGTGAAACATGTTGGGGAGCTGTGAAACATGTTGGGGAGCTGTGAAACATGTTTGGAGCTGTGAAACATGTTGGGAGCTGTGAAACATGTTGGGGAGCCGTAAAACATATGTTGAGAGCTGTGAAACATGTTGGGGAGCCGTAAAACATATGTTGAGAGCTGTGAAACATGTTGGGGAGCCGTAAAACATATGTTGAGAGCTGTGAAACATGTTGAGAGCTGTGAAACATGTTGGGAGCTGTGAAACATGTTGGGGAGCCGTAAAACATATGCTGAGAGCTGTGAAACATGTTGGGGAGCCGTAAAACATATGTTGAGAGCTGTGAAACATGTTGGGAGCTGTGAAACATGTTGGGAGCTGTGAAACATGTTGGGGAGCCGTAAAACATATGTTGAGAGCTGTGAAATATGTTGGGAGCTATAAAAAATGTTGAAGCTGTGAAACATTTTGGGTTCCGTCAAGCATAAGTGGGGGTCCTTTAGCCACAAGAAGGGGGTCTCTTACCTACCTTGGGTGTTGTCAGATCATTCGGGCGCCATCAATTAACAGTCGGGCGCCGTCAATTAACAGTCGGGCGCTGTCAATTAACAGTCGGGCGCCATCAATTAACAGTCGGGTGCCGTCAATTAACAGTCGGGCGTCCTCAATTAACAGTCGGGCGCCGTCAATTAACAGTCGAGCGCCGTCAATTAACAGTCGGGCGCCATCCAACCAAATGTACCACATCAGACAACAGCAGGCTGACGTGAGTGAGGCGGCTAAAACAACCTTCTCCTTGTTCTTGTAAACAACTCCCGCCCTGACCTCAATCAAAGAACAAGACGTCAGTGTGTTCTAGCGACGACCATTTACTGTGTCAGTTGGATTTTGCAAGACTTGCGCTGTTGCTGTTTGCAAATTACAAAAAATTAAATTCCGAAAATAATTTTTATTTTATTTTTTATTGTTTTGAAAAATTGTTTTTTCATTAAATGTAGGCCGACATGAACTTTTAAAACAATTGGAAACGGGCTGCTAGCTTGTGTTATTTAACCCCTACCCCCGCTCCCACCTACGCCTTCCTCCTTCCCCTCCCCCTAATCCTTCCTCCTTCCCATCCCTGCCCACCCCTCCCCTTCCGCATACGCACCCTCCCACCCCTTCCCCTCCCCTTTCACATACGCCCACTCCCACCCCCTTCCCCCTCCCCTCCCTTTCCGCCGCCTCCCACCTACGCCTCCCTCCTTCCTTCCTCTCCCTCCCTCCCCTCCCCCACGAGGCTAATGGTTTAATCGCGTGCCGTGCGTGGACACTTCTCGTCTTACACCTGATAGCCACGTGACCTAGCACTCGCACGTGTAAACAAAATGCTGTCACAGGGGGGGGGGGGGTGAGCTGGGGTGCTCGAGTGGATGAAAAGTGTGGGGGCGGGGGGGGGCGCTTAAAAGAGGGGAGGTATAGTAGAGCAATGGAGATAACTGATGTTGTTATCTTTTTCTTTCAGCGATGTTTGGGTAGTTGGTAAATCACGAGTCAGTGAAATAATGAGCTAATTGTGGTTTGTTAAGTAGTGAGGTGTTGGAGGTATGTTAATTAGTGTTGGGGGTATGTTGGTTAATGAGCTGTTTGTGGTTTAAGTAATGAGGTGTTGGGGTGTGTTAATTAATGTAGTGTTGGAGGTATGTTGGTTAATGAGCTGTTTGTGGTTTGTTAAGTAATGAGGTGTCGGGGTGTGTTAATTAATGACGTGGTAGTGATTTGTTAATAGGGTGTTGTCAGGTTTGTTAATTAATTAGGGTTTTGGGGTATGTTATGTTATCCAATAAGGTGTTTCTTTTGTTAATTAAAAAAGTTGCGGTATGTTAATTAATGAGTTTTTTGAGTATTTTAATTAACACTGTTTTAAGGTATGTTAATGAATCAGGCGTTAATGTGATTTAAAGAGAGATTGTAGTATGCTAATCGATAAGGTCCAGTGACGTAATGAGAATATCAGTTTCATTAATGAGATCTTAATATTAGATAATTAATGAGATGTTCATTTGAGTTTACAAACATAATGATAATATCAGTTTACTAATTTTAGGGACAATTTACTAATGAAATGCTGAGGTCAGTTAATTAATAACATACTAGACTGCTTTTAATGAGAAGTAATAGAGCCTTGGGTCAGATAATTAAAGATAAGCTAATTAATAAGATGCACGTGAATTATGCCCCAGCTAATCTAAATTTGGACCAGTGATAGCCAAGATAAACCTATATCTAATTCAACATTTTACAATTTTTTTAACCCGAACAAAATTGAAACATTCAAAAATAAACTTGGCATTGACTGGCACATTGGTAGAGCATATAGCCTATAATTTAAAGTATTTGTTAAACCACTTGACAATACCTGCTTTGATATAAGGGTGTACAATCGAAAACGAATACATCTATTTTAAACAATGTATCGAAAAATGCTGGATTAAAAAACAAAGAGAAATATTAGTATACAGCTTACGTTTAAGCGTTTAAATCAGGGGTCCCCAAACAACCGTCCGCGGGCCGCATGCGGCCCGCGAGGTCCTCTCATCCGGCCCGCGGAGATCTTTTTGTCCACGGAATAAGTGTATGTCAGAGGTGGCTGAGAAAATGTGTCCAGAAAATTCAAAACAATTTGAAAATGTAGCTGTGGGTGCAAATACC